GAGAGAGAGAGAGAGAGAGAGAGAGAGAGAGAGAGAGAGAGAGAGAGAGAGAGAGAGGGAGACCTCACTCTAATTAAACCGGACAAACGTTGTAATGGCCCATCGCCGCAACATCATATACTCATTATCACCCCTTCCACCGCGCTTTTTTCTGCCCGTATGTACCAGCGCCGTTGTCAAAGGACCATAGCAGCAGTACCATGGGATCGATGGGGTTTGACGCAATAAACGGCAGCCAGAGTAGAACACCGTGCGTGTGTGTGTGTGTGTGTGTGTGTGTGTGTGTGTGTGTGTGAGAGAGAGAGAGAGAGAGAGAGAGAGAGAAGTCACGAACTCACCCTTTCTCTCTCTCTCTCTCTCTCTCTCTCTCTCTCTCTCTCACACACACACACACACACACACACACACACACACACACACGCACTCGCAGGGAAGAGGAAGATATGGAGAACGAGGAGATGGAGTACAGGGAGAACGAAGAAGGTGAGTGACACTCACAGTGGAGTGCAGCAGCTTCTCTGCGGCGACGCGGCGACAACAAAGTTGTGGCCACGTCAAGAAGGACCCAGTTTCAAATCGAATTCGAATTTCTGGCGCCTCACGGCTGCGGGGGCATTGCAGAAAGATGGCAAACCCTCATGAGGGCGTATGGCACAGGGCCCGACGGAAATGGGACCGCCAGTCCAAGGAGGGCGTCCTGGAAAGTTGTGGTCAATACCGACAAGGGCCTGCCGAAAATATGTTTTGGCCCAGGGGCGCAACAGGGTAAACCGGCCGTCGGAGGGGCGCGACGCGAATTATCGCAAAATACAGGGGCGCCAGACAAATTTTCCCTGTTTTTTTTCCGCGGGCGTGGCCGAGGCAGCCATGTTTCTTTTTTTTTTTTTTTTTTTTTTTTTTTTTTTTTTTTTTTTTTTTTTTTTTGCGGCCGTGGCCGAGGCATCTCGGCAATGGGCGTGCCCAGATGCGTCGGCCATGCCCTGAAAAAAACAAAAACAAAAACAAAAAAACAAAAAAAAAAACAACAACAAAGCTGAGTGCCTCAGGCCAGAATCCCTGAGTCCCTGAGGCCAGAGGCCTAGCGGTCCTTTGCCGTGAAACTGGGCAAAACGCGGTATTTTTGCTGGCAAACTACGGGAACCATAAAGCTGCAACGAAACCTCTATTTTGCAAAGGAAACTTTGAACGGACGACATTTTTGCTGCAAAACTTCGAAACAGCAATATTTTTGCTATTAACCCTTGTTCGAATAATGTTCCATGAGGGGTACTGTAAGTCAAAGATACAGCAAGTTGGTGCTCAACTGATTAGGACACTGGACATTGCGGAAGAATGGAAACAGATGCTGACTCAACGCATGAGGGTGGTCTGGTGCAAACACAGGATGGTCGGTGATTCAATTTATGACTTTCGGAAAGAGGCCAGGAATAGTGAATTCTTTTGTCGTTGTTGTGAAGAGATTGAGGAAGAGATTGAGGAAGCATTCCCACGAGTTAATGGTCATGTGTCTTTTAGGTTGAGCGACTGTGATTTGTTTCCTAGATGGATGAGTAACTCAAAAAATATCCTCGAACGCTCCAAGAAGTTCTCCTTGTCTAACCTTAGGAAGCAAATTCTCACCAGATTTCACTCCTTACCCTCTCTTCCAGCCATTAGTGACAACGATCTTTCGAATGAAGACCTTCGCGCTTATTGCTCTACGACGGTTTTTAAATCTGTATCCGGTTCCTCCTGTGATTCTGATGAAATTTTTGTCCAGAGGCAACATCTCGAAGGGTTGGTAGGTTGTTCTGTAGATCAGAATGCTGGCGACACTTATGTTTGCTGCCCGTATCTTTACAAATCTTGACTAAGTATGCTGTTTTTGGAGAACTCCGCGTTTCATGAGTGTGAACAGTCTGAGGCGGGAATTTTGCATGACTGTAGATTAGAATACTAGAGTTCGAAAATCGTTAAGGTGGTAAAATGGAATTCTCGAGGCAAGTTGGGGCGAGCATATTGTATGCCCAAAGGCCCCAAACACAAGGAGGTTAAACCACCAGTACCTGGCCCAGCTATCGAGTCCGAGCCTCGGCCGACCGGTATGCCGATCCGTGCCGAGGCTCGGACTACCGGGGGCAGGCATCCCTAATGTTGGCGTGAAAGGCACGAAAAAAACGAGAAAAAAAAAAAAACAAAAAAAAAAAAACGAACGGGTTCATTCCCGCTTTGCGTCGGAAACGCAAAGAAACGCAAAGCGGGAATGAATCTTCCCGCTTTGGCACAGAGAGAGAGAGAGAGAGAGAGAGAGAGAGAGAGAGAGAG